ACTGCTCTTCCAGGTTCTCCCACGTACCAAACTCATCCTATTTTGCTGCTTCAGTGCCAACAGCTGACCCAGAACAGCTCTCAGATTAATCACTTTGGTATTTACAGAGAGATTCAGCCATAGCTGCAACAGCAACAAATTAAGTCTGCACCAGTTACAGGCACATACATCTCCCCAAGGACACGCTGTTATGACTCACTGCAACATGGCACAATTTCAGCTTCAAGCCCCGAGGCTGTTTGAAGTTACACCATTGTGTGAGCAGGAGGAAACAGAGGGCTACAAAATGCCACAGCATCTTCAATACAAAACCTCTTCCCTTGTTGGTTATCTGCAAAACAATCACCAAGCCTTTGCAGTGCAACCTGAAGGCTGTAACCTCTTGCTTACAGTCGGAAGAGTAAAGCCCTGCTCTTCAATATCACACACACAAGATAGAGATGCCAATGAAGAATGGAAACGCTGCTGCCTACAACAGTCACTGCCTGCACTGGTGCCACAGGACAGGGGACTTGGGGACACTAAACAGGTCTCCCAGGCCCAACAGTGACAAAGGAAGGTCTTTTCCAAGCAGAGCCATTCTACGATTCTAAAGCACCCATGCTGTGCTTTGTAACCTTACTGACATTGCAGTCAATTAACACGGGAACTCGCTGCAGGAAGATGGAAGCTCCACTTGTTTCCCCTCCTCCCTTCAGCTGCCATGCTCTCACAAGTCTGCACACTACGTACTTCAGCAGCTTGGGCTGTAGCAGGCGCTGCAAGCGGTCACTCACAACTGACTTCTGCAGTAACACCTTCTCTTTGCTTTTCCCTGGGCAAAACAAAAACAATCAAGCATTCAGTCATCAGTGCAAAACCACTGCCAGAGCACTCCCCACATCTTTACCATTACCTACACAACTTTGTCCTGCAGAGGGCCTATAAGAAACCAGGTAAATGGATTCTGCTGCCCACCCGAACCACTGATGTCGTGCCTGAGCTGTGCGGCTTGCAGCCTCTGCTCAGTTCTACCTCCAAAGAAACCTCAATGAAACCACCACAGGTGGCCGTAACTCCCTGGAGCTCTAAGCAGCTCTCCTCTCACCTGGGGACTCCCCTTGCACAACCCCACCTGGTTTTGGAGGATTCAGAGATGTGGAATGATGCATCAAAACAAACATGAATGAAAAAAGGAAGGAAGTCATGAATCCTTCAGTGAATAAACGCATAAATTCCCATTTACTTTGAATACTCTTCCTGTGAATTCCAGTATGAAGTACTGTAAGTATTGATGTTTGAATACAGATATGGGGGAATGGATGATTATATACATTATACTTCCTGTAGAACACTGAGCATCGCATACAGCTACTTACATTTTGTTGACAGCAGTTGTTCAAAGGATTTTATGCCCTGAGCTGCCTTTTCCTTGGCATCTTCATTGGAAGGAGGGCCCTAATAAAGATGAGAATGGATACATGGAAAACTTGTTTATTCTCCCTGGGACTCCATCATGAGCTGCCACCAAAAAGACTGATAACTCAACTAGAACTGCTCAGTCACCTTCACATCAGAAAACAAAGACAACAAGAGCTTTAAACGAAGTGGAACTGGGTTGTGGAGATGAAGAAGCATGGTCAAAATTAAGCTGAAAATAAAAAGAATGTTGGAATCTGCCCCTGTTCAGAACTCTCAGGTGTCACAGCCAGACTGAGGTTGGACAAGTGTTTCCAAAAGAGGGTAAGCAAGCAACATGTGAGGAAAAAAAATAAGAGACTGCAAACTCAGGAGTGACATCCACAGTTAGAATGGAACACAGCCATAGTGCAGTTACAATTAAATGTATCACTGGAAAAAAATCAATATGTAAGCCAGTCCTATTTACTTACTATTCCTGTTGTCTTGTCTTTAAAGTACGGCTTCATAAAATGGCCCAGAAATATGTTTGATGGTAAATTTCTACCATCTCCTGTCCTTGCTGTTTTTCTGCCATCGAGCTCCCACAAGATTTCCTTCTGCAACAGAAGAATGAAACAATGTCAGCACCTCCAGAACTGCCTAATTTCAGGGAACAGCAGATCAGTCATTCAAACCATTGGCTGCACCAAACTGCACATCAGTGCATGTATGAAAGGTAAGGTTTGGAACCTCACACATTTGTGTAGTACAATGGAGATGAGAAATGCAGAAACATAAATACCCCCACACACCAACATGCTACAATAAGCGAAAGCACAAGCTATTGTACACTCAGTGACAGCAATTTTGGTGATAGGAAATGATGGAAACTGCATGAAAATAAGCCCTTCCAAGGTCAGCATTCAGGTGACACTGGTTTGAACTGACACACGAACCTCTGTATCCTGGTTCCCAGACAAGCAAGACCAATGCTACACCAGCACACAGATAAGGGCCATTACTGCTGCAGCTGATCCCTGCACTTCGTACATTAAGAATGTCCTAGGAAGTTTCACTGTGGTTGACAGGCAAAGGATGAAAGCAAAAGTTAACTCTGAAAAGCACAGGATTGTTCCACATCTGTTTTGCTCACCTGCTGCTCTTTGTTTTGTGCAATCAGAAGCTCTACTTCCTCAATCTTTTCCTGGATAACTTCCTGATACACGTAATTCATCTGCAGACACGTTTCTGGATCTTCCAGCAGACTGCTTTCAAGATCATCGTCGCTACTGTCCTCTTCTCTTCCCACTTCCTTGAGGAAAACAAAACTCCATTTTAAGGGATTAAGGGTACAGGAGAGGGAACGCTTGCTTTTAAAAGCAAGAACTGGCATTGTGTTGAAAAGTGATTTCCAGGAGAGCTGGAAGCACAGAACTCCCTTCCTGACAGCTGCTCTGAGTGCTCCCAAAGGCGGTTACAGCTACCAGCCCTGCCCAGCTCCCTTCCTGCCCATCAGCTCAGCCTGCTGTCTGACACCACGTCTGACTGCCAGCCCTGGTAAAACCCATTCTGGTGCCAGCAGCTGCAGAGCTGCAAGTAAACTGCAGAACACTTACATTTACATTGGAGTCCCCTTGCTTGCTAAGTACACAGCTCAGGACCATCCCTTCAGATTTCTACTTTATTAGTCCTACTGAAGCAATTCTCCATGTTAATGGTGGAGACAAGACAGCTGCCCCAAAATTCCTGAGAATGATGTGAGATTTCCCCTTTCTTCCAGCTCCCTTCACCAGGCAAACACAAAGATATGCTTAAACAGTTACCATTTCTGCTTGGACATCCGAGCTGTCACCTTCAGCATCGTCTGTTGGAACACAAAAATACAAAGACATTAGTGGCAGCGAAGAGAAAGCTTCAAACCAAGGACTTTCCAATTGAAACACGCAGAGCAAAGCACCGCAGGGCATCTCACACACAACTGCGAGGGGTTTTGGGTACTGCTGTTACTGCCCAGTAAGAACGTTCAGTTTTACACCAGACACACTCTTGGTTTTCGTTTTAAAGTAAAACAGCTCCAGATAACAAAAGAGCTGCACCTCGGTCACTGTGCACTGAGCACACAGCCAAGCGAGCATCTGAGCAAACAGAATCACAGAGTGGCCATGGTGGGAAGGGACCTCCAGGATCAGGAATCTCCAACCCCCCTGCCACATGCAGGGCCACCAACCTCCACATTTAATACCACACCAGGCTGCCCTGGGTCCCACCCAACCAGGTCCTGAACACCTCCAGGGATGGACGGGGCACCCACAGCCTCTCTGGGCAGCTGTTCCAGCACCTCACCACTCTCTCTGTAAAGAACTTCCCCCTGACATCCAACCTAAACCTCCTCTCCCTCAACTTCAAACCATTTCCCTTTGTCCTGCTGTTATCAACCCTTTCAAAAAGTTGATTCCCCTCCTGTTTGTGGGCTCCCTTTAGCTACTGAAGGCTACCATGAGGTCACCCCGCAGCCTTCTTTGCTCCAGGCTGAACAACCCCAGCTCCCTCAGTCTGGCTTCCTAGGTGAGGTGCTGCAGCCCCCTGCTCATCTTTGTGGCTCCTCTGGACCCTCTCCAACAGCTCTGTCTTTTTTGTACTGGAGGTTCCAGACCTGGACGCAGTGCTGCAGATGGGGCCTCACAAGAGCAGAGTAGAGAGGGACAACCACCTCCCTGCCCCTGCTGCCACCCCTCTGCTGATGGAGCCCAGGACACCATTTGCCTGCTGAGCTACAAGCGCACACTGCTGGCTCACGTTCAGCTTCTCATCCATCAGGACCCGCAGGTCCTTCTCCACAGGGCTGCTCTCAAGGACCGCTCCTTCCAGTCTGTATGGATGCCTGGGATTCCTCCGGCCCAAGTGCAAAACTCTGCACTTCGCCGTGCTGAACCTCATCAGGTTCACCCGGCCCACCTTTCCAGCCCGCCGAGGTCCCTCTGAACGGCCTCCCTTCCTTCTACCGCGTCAACCGCACCGCTCAGCTTGGTGTCGTAAACCACGTCCTGCGAGCAGCCCTGCAGCAACACCGGGCTGAAGCCCTACAGAGGAGCAGCGCCCGCCGACGCGAGGCGCCGAAGGGACCAATAGAGCCCCGCCCCCCCGCCGGGCCCGCAGGGAGGGCCGCGCCCCGAGTACCCGAGCTGAGGCTGGAGTCCGACACGGCCACATCTCCGCCGGTCACGTCGAGCCGCAGGCTGCGCTCCAGCTCCTCAATCTCGCGGCGGATTTTCTCCCGCTCCGCGTTCAGCTCGGCCCCGGCCGGGCCGTTCCGCCGGGACATGGCGGCACCGCCGCAGCCCCGGGGCACGACGCGAACCGTGCCGCCGCGGCACCGCCTCTCTCCGCCCGTCGACCAATCGCCGCGGGGCGCATCGGTCAGCTGAGCCCAGAGCACGTGACATGAGACAGCCAATAGGAGCACAGCTTCGCCAAGACCGCGACCCGCGAGTCGCCTCCGCCTTTAATCGCTCCGTTACACGGCGGGCAGCGCCCGGCCCTGCGGCCGCACCGAGCCGTTCCTGCGAGCAGCGCGGCAGCCCGTTCTCGGGGCGAGGCCGGGCCTTCCTGCCAGCCCTGTTGGCGCCCTCCGGAGCAGGGCAGGGCGCTGCGGTCCCGCTCGCTGTTGGCTGAGCGCTGCCCTTTGTGGGATCGGTCCCGCCCCGTGCCGGCTCCGACCTCAGCCATCCGCAGGGATGGAGGAGCTGCTCCTGCAGCAGCGCTCAGCAAGGAGTTCTGCGCTGAGCTCTGCCTGTGAGTCCCTGGTTGGGTTCATTGTCCATCTTCAGACACCTCAGAAATTCTGTCTATGGATTTAAGGAGATCGGCGACGAGCTGCAGTGATTCTGCTCCAGAGACCAGCTGCCTGGGTGAGAGAAACACAGCGTTAGACTGGAGAGGATAAGGCACACAGGCACTGTTTTGTGGAAGAAAACACACTGCAACTAAGCGAGAACAGGGACTGACCTGCAGTGCATAATAAAGAACCCAAGTTTCACTCCCCCTAGTGGGGATGCTTATTCTCTGGCTGCTGTCAGCATTTAGCACCTGAGATAGAGCAAGCAGAGCGCTTGGAAACAACTTACTTTATTGAAGACTGAGAGTTTGTGATAACAGTCAGAAGGTTCTGTAAGGCTGTGTCTGCGTTTTGCCTCACCACAGCCAGGCTTGCCGACTGCCCCGACCTCAGAGCTTCATTCTCCATCTTGTAATTCTTCAGCTGAACCTTGGAAGGGAAATAAAACCCTTGATAACGAAAATATAACGCAGAACTCACAGCACTGAGTGAGGTGCAGCAGCAGCCAGCGGAGGCCTTTAGAACATTATTGCTTTGTACCTGAAGTAATGCATTCTCCTGCTTCAGTTTTGTAGCGGTGTTTTCTGCCTTTACAGCCCGTTTCTGAAAGAGAACAGAGGATGAGCGTGAGATGTTGGAGGGCTCGCTGGTATCACTGGAAGCGATTTGGTTTGTGTTGTAGCACCTTTGCTCTGAATGCTGTATGAGATGGGGATGGCAGCACTTACAGTCATCAGCTGGAGATTCTGTTCCACGTGCTGCACCATTGCTTCCAAGTCCTGAGCTTCCTTCTCTTCTTTAATTTTGTTTTCCTCGAGCTTTCTTTCAAGCTTCTTCAGCCTTAAAATAAGATAAAAAATAGCATTTGGTAAAATAACCACATGAAAATTCCAAGGGAAGAACTGAGAAACTCTGTTCTTCACATAACAAAAAATTAAGGCATCTCACAGAACTGCCTTTATAGGCTGCAGCTCAAGGGATTTCTGCATTCGTCATCCACCAGCATCAATGGAAACAGCTGAACACAGCATAACTGTACAGAAAACGTGTGTGTTCACAGTCAGTGTGGAGCATTCTGTACCAGTCACCCCATCACCACAGGAGCAGCAGCTGCCTCATGGCGAGGAGCAGCACAGCAAAGAGAAATCACTACCATGGATCAGTTGTTCAACCTCAGGATTTTAACGTCTCCCAACACTGAGTTAATCACCTGCCAAAATTAAAATGCTCTTCTTGCTTTAAAGGAGAGAAATTGCCTCCTGTGGAATCTTGCCATTACTTTCACAACTTAAGCTGCGTGAAGCCTAAATGCACTCACAAAACTTTACCTCACCGTGCATAAGAAATACGGATCTGATAAATCAGAATCAGATTCTTCTCTGAAAGAGCCCCCTGGAATGGGCTGCCCAGGGAGGTGGTGGATTCAGTGACCCTGCAGGTGTTCAAGGAACGTTTGCACGTTGTGTTGAGGGACACAGTTGGGTGAGAGCTATTGGTGATGGTGGGGCTGGATGATCTTGTAGGTCTTTCCCAACCTTGGTGCTTCTGTGATTCTGTAGTAAAGCTTTTTAACAAACAGAACAGAGTTCACTTCACTTCTAGGAAGCTTTTCTCTCTTTCCAGGGGGCACCCTAAGACAATTCATTTACTCCTTCCCCACGCTGTGCCTCACTCACACGTCTGCTTGAGTTCCAGAGATCTCCTGCAGCTCACGGATCCTCCTCCTCAACGCGGCATTCTCTGCTTTCAGCTAAAAGAGAAAAGAAATAAATCCTTCATAGAGGCGAGGAGCGGTTTAACGGCCCCCAAACACCCCGAGGGCGGGACCGCGAGACACGAGAGGGCAGAATTACATCTGTTGCCGAGCAGCTTGGTTCAACGGCCCGGTTTGGGGGCAGCCTTTCCCTCCCACAGCGCCGCATCCCGTCGCAGCGGCTCCCCATCCGTCCGTCCCCGCTCACCTCCTCGTAGCAGCGCTCTCTCGGAGCAGCGCCCGCCCCGCCGCCCTCACGGCGGCTCACAGCGCGGTGCTCCCGCTCGGCAGCCGCAGGCCGGTAACTGCCGCTCCACCCCGCCTCATCTCCGTCCTCCTCCGCCTCTGCGGGAGGCGCCGGGCCGGGCAGCGGCAAGGAGCCGAGGAGGGGGCCGGGCAGAGCCGCCCGAGGAGGGGAAGCGGGGCGGGGGCTGAGTTGGACGGGCTCCTCGGCGCTCCGGGCTTTGCTCCGCACGAACTCGCGGAAGGAGAACGGGTTGGGCTCGGCCACGGGAGGCTCCGCCGCCGCCATCGCTCGGCGCTCCTCGCCCCGCCCCCCCGCGGCGCTCCGCCAATCCGGGCAAATCGACCCGCCCCTTTCCCGACCGCACGCCGCGCGGCGCTCACGTGACTCGGCGCCGGCCGGAAGCGACACTCGGGGGCACGGCAAGATGGCGGCCGCCGCGGCGTGGCTGAGGCGCGGAGTGTGGGGCCCGGCCCGGCGGTGAGCCTCGGCGGGGGAGGAGCTCGTTATTCTCGGTAACGGCGGCCCCTCCCCTAACGGCGGCTGTCTCGTAGGTGCGGGCTGGCGGCCGCCCGGAGCTATAGCGGAGGCGGCTCCTACCCCAACGTGTCGCTGACGTGCCCGCTGCCCGGCGTGCCCAAAGCCGTGTTCGCGGCGGCCGAGGGCCGGGAGCGCTTCGAGACGCGGGTGACGGTGCTGGAGAACGGGCTGCGCGTCGCCTCTCAGAACAAATTCGGACAGTTCTGCACCGTGGGCCGTGAGTGCTGGGAGCGGGCGGGGCGCCGAGCCTCGGGCTGGGCCGGCGGCGCGCTGACCTCGTGCTTTCTGCCGCCAGTCCTCATCAACTCCGGATCGCGGCACGAAGCGAAGTACCTGAGCGGCATCGCGCACTTCCTGGAGAAGCTGGCGTTCTCCGTGAGTAGCGCGGGGTCCGCGCTGTGTGCAGGGCTGGGGACAGCGGTGGCTGTGTGAGGTCGGTCTGTACGAATGGATCCCGGCGCTCTCTGAAGCCTGCGGTGCTCCCATCTCTGAATTTAGTATTTAGCGAACTGTTTGACTTACAGAACTTAAAAGGGAGGCTGCGGTGCTGTGCTGGAGCAGGAGGTGCCCGTTCTGGGCTGCAGGGAGCGGTTATAAATTGTTGTCACTCTGCTGCTTTGTGACACTGACGATCTTCATTCTTAGTCCACAGCGCAGTTTAGCAGCAAAGATGAAATTCTTCTCACCTTAGAAAAGCACGGAGGCATCTGTGACTGCCAGGCTTCAAGGTACGAGGGATTTCCTCTGTTCTCTTTGAGGTGACTGACAGTCACTGTCACTGTGACAGTAGAAGTTGCATTATTCTTCTGAGCAGCAGAATCCTGCTTGTGGCATCTGCTAAGAAATCCCAAAAGTGAACTGGCGGGATAATAAAAGCCAATAGAGTTGCCTTTTCAAAGCATTTATTGAGTTATGGGCAAGCATCTGTAGCCGTGATGCCCTACAGCACCGTTACTGAGCGAATGTGATTCTCAGAGCAGCACCCTGTGCTTGCCTTGCAGGGACACCATCATGTATGCTGTTTCTGCTGATGCCAAAGGCTTGGACACGGTGGTCAACTTGCTGGCTGACGTAGCCCTGCAGCCCAGGTTATCAGGTTTGGGAACGTAATATCTGCCTCAGAACAGGAATCCCAAAGCACGACTGGAGAATTCTCCATTGGATCGTGCTCACCAAGAAGCTTGAGAGCTCTCCTTCAGCACATGCGGATCTCGCCTGGCGGCTGTTATCTGTCACTTTCTCTCTTATTACAGATGAAGAAATCGAGATGACTCGAATGGCTGTACGGTTTGAGCTCGAGGACTTGAATATGAGACCTGATCCAGAGCCTCTCCTCACAGAAATGATCCACGCGGTAAAACACTGAGAAGCCTGTCCTGTGTGAGACACGCTGCATCCCCTCCCTCAGTTTCCCCTGAGCGCAGGGTTAATTTCACACTTTTGAAAACAGATTTTTGCGTTACTCAGATCTCAGTGGTACGAGGGAGAATTTTGCTGCCTCTGCTCTATATTTGATGCAGGAAAGATTTTAATCTGAGTTCATAATGTAGTGACCATACATTAGCTTTGTTGAGATGCTGATTTATGCTAACGTTACTGAAACAGTGCTCAGTCTGTCCTTTCTCCCAAGTCTCAACCAAAAGGTGTAGATTGAGGGGGTGAACTAATATTTGCTACTTCAGTGTATCTATTTCCTTTTAGGCAGCCTACAGAGAAAATACAGTTGGACTGAAGAGGTTCTGCCCAGTGGAAAACACTGACAAAATTGATCAGAAAGTCCTGCACTCATACCTGAGCAATTACTACACACCGGACAGGATGGTGCTGGCAGGGGTGGGAATTGAGCACGAGCAGTTGGTGGAGTGTGCAAAGAAATATCTGCTTGGAGTGGAGCCAGTGTGGGGTAGTGCACAGACCAAGGAGGTGGACAGGTCTGTGGCTCAGTACACGGGAGGCATTGTCAAGGTAAAAGGAAGGTGGAACGGCCTTTTCCTTTCTGTTAGAGTTGCTGATTTGAATATGATCCCAAACTGGCTGTGGGATCTGCCCTTACCTGGTTGATGAGTTGATTAATAGGAATTTTGCAAGCTGGATAAAACAGATGTGAAAATCAATCCTAATGCTTTGTCCGCTTTTCACACAGGTCGAAAAAGACATGTCAGATGTGAGCCTGGGCCCCACTCCAATCCCAGAGCTTACCCACATTATGATTGGGTTAGAAAGCTGCTCATTTTTAGTAAGTATCAACCTAAGATACTGTGTATTGGTTGCCCTGTACTTGCAGAACCTCAAGCTACTATGTCTCAATATGTGAGCATTGGCACTCTTGCTGCTGATGGAACCTGTATGTAGAAAGAGCTTTTTCACTCACCAGTTGATAAAGGCACTGATCTTCCCGTTCCTCTTGTGCCATGTTTTGAATTCTTTTTCTCTTTACTCATCCCTGATCCTTGAGAGCTCTGCTGGGTCTCTGCTGTTCAGTGACCGAATTTCTTCCTGATTTTCAGGAGGAAGACTTCATTCCCTTTGCAGTATTAAATATGATGATGGGAGGTGGTGGCTCTTTTTCAGCTGGAGGGCCTGGCAAGGGCATGTTCACCCGGCTGTATCTCAATGTGCTCAACAGGTTTGTTTGTGTTTGCTAAATGGATTGCAGAAACAGTCTTCTACAGCAGGCTGTTGTGGAAGGCCTCGTCCTGTGAAAGGCAGCACTCCTAGGTTTTACATCAGCTTATTCTGCTGGAAATTCATGAGACTGATCTGCTTGTTAGTGAGCATTCTGAAAGGGTGAAAGGTCAGAAGTGAGCCAGAATCCTTTCTTCTTCCATTAGCCCGATCCATTCCTTCAGGCAGGGAATATGCACAGAGTTGGCTGTAGGTGCTAGGAGTACTGTCCCATTGTTTTCTGTTTAGTCTCACGGATTCAGAGGGTAAGAAGGAAGAACTGTCAGCTGCAGGCACTGACTGATGCTTCTGGAACTACTGAGAAGCCTGAAAATGAGTTGGGAGGGGAATCACTGCCCGTGGTTTTTTTAATTTGATATTTATATTCTGTTGTCTAAACTTTAACGTTCTGTTTGTGCATCACAGGCACCACTGGATGTATAATGCAACTTCTTACCACCACAGTTACGAGGACACAGGTCTCCTGTGCATACATGCCAGTGCAGATCCCAAACAGGTATTCAGTCCTGTACTCAAGGGCAGGTGTCCTTAAACAGTCATTGCATCACTGATTACCAAACAGGGATAGGATTGGATTTTTGTACTTGATAATGTGGTAGCAGATATCTATAAACTTGTAATATTGCAAAGCTACTGGAATCCAACAGAGCACTCTTCTGAAATTAAATTCAGTGTTGAGCATGTTATGCTGTCTGAACAGAATGTTAATCACTGTTGTAATTTTGTTTCAAATACCTGTTTTTCTTAGGTCCGAGAGATGGTGGAAATCATCACAAGAGAATTCATTCTAATGGCAGGAGCGATAGGAGAGGTCAGCAACATAATTTGCAGGCTGTGTGATGGTCTTTGAGCTGAAGTATTGCATTGTATTGGCCTTGCTGGGGTGAAGTATTTCATGTGTTTCCATGAAAGAATGTCTTCATTTCAGCAGCATGCTCACAAAAGAGGAAAGTCTTGCACAACTCTGAAGTGCTCCACAGCTCTCCAATCTTTGTAGAGCAAAAGGAAGGCTGTTTGGGCTGGAATATGGCACTAATCCAACCACTTGTGTTTTCCAGAGGACGTTGCTAGCTTGTTTTAGAGAGCAATGGCCAGTTATTTTAGAAGATGTTTGTATTTGCTGCTCATTTACAGGTGGAACTTGAGAGAGCAAAAACACAACTCAAGTCTATGCTCATGATGAACCTTGAATCTAGACCAGTAATCTTTGAAGATGTGGGAAGGCAAGTGCTGGCAACGAACACCAGGAAACTGCCTCATGAGCTTTGTGCACTGATCAGTGAGTAAACCAGTTTTCCTTCCCTGGATAGATTTGTGGGTACAACCTGGGGGTGGCAACTTAAATATGTACATTGATAATATAGATGAAGTGCTCTAGCATGAGGAATTAAAGACAAATTTCAAACTGATCTTCTCAGTTGCTTGCAAGCCAGCATTGTTTGCAAGAAGAAGGGAAAAAGCTGAATTGTGGTAGAGAAGGTCTATGGCTAGTGATGATTTGGTTTTCTGAGCACCGTGGGGTGTGAGTTGGTACCACAATAAAGCTGGTTTGTGCTATTCAGAATGCGGCTGTTACAGCTCTGGCTTTTTTTTTTTTTTCCACTGCAGGTAAGGTGAAATCCTCTGACATCAAGAGAGTGGTCACTAAGATGCTCCATAAGAAACCAGCTGTGGCTGCACTGGGTGACTTGACAGATCTGCCCACCTACGAACACATCCAAGAAGCCCTTTCCAGTAAGGACGGCCGGCTCCCCCGTTTGTACCGGCTCTTTCGATAGAGCAGCACTTCCTGAGTGTATCTGAGAGACTTGCTGCTGCTTTCATTTTGTTCTCGTGCATTTGTAATACTGCTAGACAGCTCCACTCCCTCCCAGATCTTTCCAGGCATGCTGTGCAAACACAGTGACATTACAGCTGAGCAAAGCTGCTTCACCACATTGAGCTACAAAGAGCTCAGTGGATTTACAGGCCCACCCTGGCTCAGGGTGAGTATTCTGATCCTCAAGAGAAGATGGGTGTACACAGCCTTCTCTTGGTACTGGGGAGAGCATAGCAGCCCCAAACATCCATCACTGCAACAGAAAGCACGTACCTGAGAAGTCACTGCTGTGTGTTACCTCTAAGCCATACTGCAGGAGCAGCCTTTTCAGCAGTGTGGATGTGACATCAGAGGCCCAGCTGTGTGCCTTGGGGAAGGCAGAGGCCTGCCTGCCCCTGCAGACACCTGGCAGCAGGCCAGATGGGATGAAACGAAACAAAAGGCTTCAGGCTAATAATGAGAGGTGTGTTCCTCTAATGAATAGCTTTCCTTTGCAAGGGTGCTCACCACACTTGTTTTAAAGAATTTGCTTTAGATTACAGTTCAGTTTGACATGTTGTACTCCAGTGAGACCTGTATGGGTAGAGGAAGACTGCTGAAAATGCTGCTCAAGAGAATATTTTCATACTCTCTCTTCAGAGAATATTCCAGCTATCACCATGGTGAACAAGTATTTGGTCAAAGTGACTTGGGAAAGTATTGGTTGATAGCCATGCAAAACAGAATCTGAAATCCAGGTTCTGGTCCGAGCATTGTGGATTATTTTACTGCTGTAATTTACCATCTGTAATACTCTTAGAATTCATATGTCTGGGAATAACTTAATAATTATGCTAGAACCCAAGGGAAAGTAGATTCTGATTTGAAAGTGAATTATGCTAAAGAATAAAAGTTTTTCTTACTCCCAAACCAATATTTGAAGGAGTTGCACCTTAAACTTGTACCCTACCTTTCTTCAGAGTGTCAGATTAATTTAAGGCCCGGCACAAAAGAAGGCAGATCTGTCAGCCTTACACTGGCATGGAGCTCAGGAAGCAGTTAAATTCAATGAAATGACAATGTTTAGAAAGCTGGTGATACTGAAAGTGGCAGACATGGGACTGCCATCGTGTTCCAGAAAGAAAAAAAAGGCAGATGTTTAACATATGGAAAAAATGGGGACCCAGAAGAGATGAGAAAGCACCTTGCTTTGAATAATGCCTTGCTGCATGGGCTTAGATGTGGAGACAGCTGCATCGCAGTATGTCATGGCTTGCTGTGTGTTGTAAGGAGCAATCAGGTGGGGAGCAGCATACCACGAGGCAGCTACGATCTGCTTTATCACCATACCTTACATAACTGGAACAAAACACGTTACATTGCTTCTTACAGAACTCACAGAGTGGAAGTCATTCGATTGCTGTGCGTGTTTTTAAAGGCAATAAAGATCTCTCTAAACGACTGAAGCAAGTAGCAAGAGTTCTGAGATGGAGCAGTTAAGCACTACCTTTCCTGAGCTGGCAGGTGAAATGCCCTTCATTTGTTCAGTGCAAGGAATAGCAAAGGAGCCTGTCTCACTTTTTAGCTGAGGAAGAATGGCTGAGGTCACCCAGAGGGTTAGCAGGCATCACAAACGGCTGGAGTTCTGACAGGCCTGCAATAAGACTGGCTCTCATTTATGGTACCATATTAATTTATTTTTATTCCTTTAAAAAGAAAGGAAATCCGAATAGCTGGTGGCTACAGCCAGCTCAGTGCCATGATGTTTGTACCGCAGAACAGAAGCCCTGCCTTGGACAGGTTGCATAGTTAGCAGCACTTTCCAATTGTTTGCATGGTGTTACGTCCTGAGGTGATGGATAGCCCAGCCAATCTGTGCCTATAAATATTAGCTGTACTTCACCTTTCACCAGTGCCACACCAGTTCATGTGTGTGTTTAGGGGAACAACACATCAAAAACAGCAAGTTATTCACAGTTCACTGAATTGGGAAAATGAAAACAAAGGGAATTTAACTGTCATCAGAGGTAACAGAATGGCACTGATCTGACTTGCTGCAGTTTCCCTGCTTCCTTCCTCAGTCCTCATTCAACATCTCAATCACTTTGGTGGAACATCACCCACTAGCTGCATTTAGACGATTGTTTCCAACTTGAGAGTCCTGCTGCAGAAAGGGGGGAGTGATCTGAAGTAGGGGGTGCTTCCAGAAATCCCAACAGACAAATGCATGGTGGGGGAGATTTACACACTTCCCCACTAACAAAAAAGGCCTACAGAATAATTGTTGAAAGGCAATGTTTGTACACCTCCAATGTCCGACTGTACACTCATACAGATCCTGCTGCAGAGGTCCAAAAAAGCCCAACTCAGAGTAACCATCCATAGACAAAACTGACCTGTTCCCTAAGTGGTCCCCATTCAGCATTTTACAGAATACTGCACATTTGGCTACAGGTAAGGAATAAAAACCCAAACCCACAACATACGAGGGGTAACCTGACCAAATCAAACAGACAAACCAACATTTTCACCCTCCTGCGGGTTTTTCTTAGGTCCCTTGCCCCCAGCCATGCCAGTTCCAAGAGATGTGGACCCTGTATGGAGTCACCTTAGAAGAGACAGCCTGCATCTGGTCTTCCCAAAGACAGTACAGTCAAAAATATTGCGTCTGTTGGAATGGATGCCCTAAATAACCAACTCTTTTTGCTTCAGCAAAAGCATTGGAGCTGTATGGATTACCTCATGCAAATGAATCCAGGGTGAGGTTTAAGACATTCTTCACAGGCCCCAGCAACTGCCAGAGGTGCTAAAGCAGACAGTTCCCTGCAGATGTTGCCGTGGCTTGAAATCCTCTTTCCAGGCACCTCTAACACAAGCGTTGCAGAGTTCTTAGCTCAGGAAATGCTACATATGCTGCTGGATTTTTGGTCCTTTTGCTGTCGTCGATTCTGAAGTTCCCTTGTAATCCGCCTCTTTATTCCAATTAAGTAGAGTTCTCTGTCAAACTGCCCCGCAGCAAGTGGAATACTGCAATATAGAAACAAGATTAGGGCACAGATGTATTCCTGTTTGCCCAGCATTTACCACCTAATTCATAAAACAAGGGGCCAGATTTTTTTTTTAACCTTTTTTTAAGACCCCCCATCCAAGTCCCAATTCTAATTGATCAAGTGCTCCAAGAAATCATCCTTTTCTAGATACCTGGGTTTCAAACTCCCTCAGCAGGCTACTTACAAGAAAGTGGCACGCTAAATTTCAGTGACTTAACTGCATTTTCTGAGCAGTTACACTGGCACAGCAGCTGACAGTGGAATAGTAAGAAATTTGGGGAATCTACAATTCATATGCATGCAGCTATGTTGGAACACAGCCACCACTGGGACAAACAGCACCAATCCCAGAACAGGGAAAGAGAAACAGAGGATGAAATGTGCCCATGCTTACAGGCAAACCAGAGAGCTGCATTCTCAGGTAGAACACAGACTCAGCCAACTGCAACAGGCTCCATTAATCTCCCTCAGGAGGATTAAGAGACCCGGCAGCCAGGATTTCTGATGTCAGCTGCAAGGCTTAAGCACCATTACTGCTCTGACCACTGGCAACAAATATCAGCAAAAAACAAACACAAGGAAGTGCAGGGAATCAACTCTTATTTCAGGGATTCTCCCAGCGTGACAAATGCTGAAAGGGAGCAGCACATCCTCAGGATCACTGCAGACATGTACAGCTGAACAGAACAGCACCACAGGTACTTACTTGTCCCTGCCAGGCCTCACTTTCACACGGAACAAAGCAAACACAGGACGGTGGTCTGAGGTTTTGATCACAGGACAAGATGAGTATTTAACAGCTTGGATGTCATCTCTGTACCGACTGCGGAACACTACTCGATCCTGGGAGACAGAGAGGAAACTCACAGTAACTCCCTTTGCATGTCTGTGCTGGAGAGAAGCACCAGTTCATTGATTAGACTCTACTGAGAGAAATTCTTGGACAGGGATGCAGTCAAGAAGAATGTATCTGATCCCAACAACAATTTTGTGTCCAGTTCTGAGCACAGATAATGCACTGCAACATGATGTGAGGCAGGAAAAAGTAAGACAGGCAGTCTGTGACAAACTCTCACGTGTTCAACAATCCTTACTTCTGAGTTCCACGTGCCCTGCTATCCTTGACAAATTTCAGCATGGCTGTATCTCATGCAGACCTACTACAGGAGGGAGCATATTCAAGGCAGCTTTTCAATGTAGGTGAGAATCCCCTTCGGAGACAGGAAGGTGCCTAAGCAGCCCTTCCAAGAGTGCTGCTCTGCAATCCAATCTTACCGTGTAGGAAGGAGTCCTCTGCTTGGAAGTGGTGTCATAGCTGTCCTTGCCTATGTCAAACTTGTAGGAAGGACGGAAGTGAATGTCAGCCTCCTGGAACCCCTTGAAAATAGACCCTGTATGGGAGGGGAAGAGCAATGTAAACAACAAACCCCTTCCATCACACTGGCACTCATTCTGCACTTATTCAACACTGTTGAACTAATGCAAGCGTGTACATGCATGACTAGGGAAGACTAGGCTCTGGAAATGTAGGAAGTTCAGGTTCTTATGTGAAATGATGATGAATAGCTGGTCTGTGCCTATTTAAACAAACAACACTTGGTGCATGTGCTTCCCCTTCCATTAAAAGCTCACAATGCTTTGTGTTTGCTGTCTGTTCAACCTAAATGCCCTTGGTGCTGTGAAAGAATTAGGTCCATTTTACAGAGGAGTCAGATGAAACAGAGCAACAAGCAGCTTGGCACAATATATGATAGTACACAGCAAAATGCAGAATCACAGAATTGTAGGGGTTGGAATGGACCTCCACAGATCATCGAGTCCAACCCCCCAAGAAGAATCTTGTAAGTCCTTTATGTTAACTCTGTGATTCTGTGATTCAAAATGCAGAATTCTCTTTGACAGACTCCCACTAGATTCAACAACTGCTGAGTTCCCTTTCTAGTGATCTTCACAAGAAAAAGCAGGGGGTATCTTTATAAAACAGGGAGTTGGCAGTAATCATTTTTGTACGCAGGAACCTTTGTTCCTGCAGGCTGGGGAAGACAGCTGCTACTTACCTCTACCCATTTCGCTGGTGAGCTGGTCATAGGCCAGCAGTTTGGAGACGCCTGTTTCTGGATTCTGGCTCAAGATGGAATCCACAGTTTCACGGTCCTTATTTAGTCGGAAGTTGAAGTCACCAAACCAGAATACTTCATCAAACCGAGTTGTAACATCACCTGCAGATTCAAGGCAGAGGCATCAGTATAAAAGGAAACAAATGGCTCCTCCATTCCAACCTTTTCTCTCAAACATCCCCCAAATTACGATTCAACTAAAAAATAGAAAGGAAACTGTGCGAATAAGAGCCATCCTCACAGAGAAAGACACGCAGCCCCTTTTTATATCAACTAATTCAAAAAAACCCATCCCATTTCTCTTCCTTTGTGCACTCCCCTTCATTCTGCACAACCCCTGCTCACATGGGCTCACACAGAAGAATGTTTCACACTTACCAGAACTGGATCGATACGGGTTTGTGTCTGGAACGACCTTAGGAAGGGTAAGTGCTTGAATGGTTTTGTTGTAGTCCAGCTTCCTCTCATTCACCTTACTGTCTCCAGCTGAAATACAGAAATCCCACTACTGGCAAGGATGCATCATTTGCATTCAGCTCTATTTTTTTGATGATAACAAGAGCTTTCAATGGGAATCAGACATTCCTGTAAAAAGGAACACTGCCCCAAGGAGCACACAGACTTACAAATAATGGCAGAAAGTGGAAAAAGGGAAACAAATGCATAGAACTCATTTTTGTTTTCTAAGCAGCTTCTTTTCAAGTTGCTACCACACATATTCCCCTCCTTCCCCTCCTCAGCTCAGCAGTGCTGAGCTTTGACTTCAG